TCTCCAGTCATGACTTGCGTGGTAGGTCTTTTTTTAACCGTATGATTTTATGGCTAGTGATGTCGTCGTGCCGTAATAATGTCGTAAATGTGGCTACAGGAAGTCAACTGTGAAAAATTTGAAATGTTTCAGCCCGAGGTTCCTACGACGAGTTGCCCTTGGATGTATACAAGAGCTACATGAAGAAGCTGAAAAGTGAGGCCAAGACGAAAAAGATAAAATCAGTGAGTATAATGTAATTTCTAATGTTTATTTTGACTTACACGCAGGGGAGGGTTGTGTAGTCGGAAGAGGTGCAGCATTGAAAGGCCCCAGTTCAGGATCAAATATCCGACTGGCTCCGGTCTAACCCTCGACCGCATCCGCTTGAGAACGCTTAACTGGTAGTAGACATCCAGATAGAAGTTCTGAGTTGTGCAAAGGCTGTCCCCTCCAAGACATTGTATAAGCTGAGTCGCAAAAACACTGAAATTCTGGATGGAAACGGTGTGCGTGGCTCATCCCAAGAAGGGGTTTATCAGAGCTGAACTTGCTCTACCCATTATTTTTGTAATTTAATCTTCCCGCAGCCAAAAAATGGTGGGTGTTGAGGCACAAATACGGGTAACAAGGTGGTGAGCAGCTCAACATTAAAGAAAAATGCAAGAACTTGTTTGGAATGCCCTAGATAAGACCCCCCCCCGATTCGAGCTGATATAGTGTACGTTAAGAAGAGGGCGTGTAACTTGCATTTTTCAAAGGTTTTCTTCTTTCACGCAAAGATCTAGGTTGGACGAGTTCTCATTTGCTCGTATCGTAACAATGTCAGCTCCTTTCCCTTACCTTCTTCCAACCATGTTACGCAAAAAGAGTCAGTAGCGGAACAGCTGCACAACTAGGAAACCGTTAGGAATAAACGGTGGGTGCAACAGGGGACAATGGGCGGGGCATGCTCTCGTCATGAGCGGGTGGCGTCCCTATCACGTCTTTTCGAACCGAGAAATGATGCATCCCCAGTGTTAGTGGATTGGGATACCCTGTCAAAAAACGGCATCTGCAGATCGAGCAGGCGCGGGATGTGCCCTTAACAGGCGATCTTAATATTGGAATCTAGGCCAATTTTCTGAGTGTTGTAACCGCACTGCTGTTCATATTTCAGCGTAACTCAGACCTCTCTAAAGAGAAACCTATGCTTCCCTCTGATAAGTCAGAGTCAGCCTCAAGAATTGGATTTTCTTATCTAAGCAGAACAAATCGGGTTTGATTGTTGTGTTTTTCAAAATGAACGCCTTTTCAAGATTTTCTTGGAGCAAAGGCAGTTATAGGCTGTAAGCACGGTGGCTGGGGGCCGGCAGTTGCTGCCAACGTCATTGGTGGAAGGACTGAGTAGATGTGGCTCCAGAAGGGACGGTGGTAGCAACCGCTCGCCCCAAGACATCGCGCCCACTGCCTTTAAGGAGCACTACAAGTTTTGATGTAGGTTCGAATGCAGGGTCTTCATTAATGATGCGGGGTGAGGCTCGTCCTGGAAATATCCTCAGAAGCATGGAACGAGAGCGCTTTTAGGTAATTGAAAGAGGTAGACGGAAGTTCACCATTTTCACCCTCGCATACCCTCATAAAATTGTTCCTTGTTCAAATACGCAGGACTTGACAAAGGCGTACGAAGCTTTTTATTCGCAGGGACTCACTAGGCCGCCCTGGCTTCTCTCAAACTAATGTCGAGTCGCGAGATTGCCTTCAGAACTAAAGTAGGAACATGATGCTGTTGTATTTTAGAAATATTATGTGTAGAGTCTCGTTTCAGAATGATGCCCGAAGCGGTGGTGATGACGATATGGATGCAAGAGAACGACGGATTCGGATTACGGACGCAAGAAGTGGTGTAGCGCTACAGATTTTTTCATGTGTTCGACATGCGCGTGCATCCCAAAAGAGATTGTCACTGCTCTTTCCGTCAGGTCAAGCGTCCTCATTACATCACTTATCCGCCTTTATCCAAGAGATAAAGCGGCGCGCGATCAGACAGCGACTGCTGCTTGTTCCTGCTTTTTTGGCGTACTCGCACCTGTCATACTTAAGACTCCTCACTTTCGTGCTGAACCTTCGCTGCGCTCGCAACTATTAGGTTGTTCGGAAAGGAATGCGCGTTGACTTTGTCTATTTATTTCTCTTCTACTATAGGAGATTTTTCAAAACAGTTTTGTCCATTAGAGAGAGGTTTTTATTGCGCATCTTTTGATATATTTTTTCTATGTCTACCTTGTTTTTTTAGAGAAAAAAAGTTTAGAAAATGCTCGACCAACCATATTTCGCGAATGCCGAGCTTGTATGCTGGTAAGGACTTGAAGCAAGTCGGCTAGACGGCAGCACTGGGTGCGACTAATGACTGCACTCGGCTCACAGAGTGTGGCGGGCGGACTAGCGACACACTCGGCGAGAAAACTGGCAAAAAGAGGCTCTTTTGACCTACATTTCCTCTCCGGCGGACCTAACGACACACCCGAGGGGAAAAGTAGTGAAAGAGGCTCTTTTGGCGAAGTTTTTGCGTACAGTTGGCAACAAGTCATTGCCTATATAGCTAAATGGAGGATTATCTTTAGAGTTGCCATTGTTAATTTTCGTTATTTATGAGGAAAAATTTTTTTACATCAAGTGCGCATTCTTTCCGAACAACCTAATACTACCTGGATTCGCCTATTTTTGCCTTCTGGAAGAGTGACTGTACTCCAAGCAATTAGAAAAACTTTGAATACCGCCCCCCCCCCCCCCCCCCCCCCCCCCCCCCCCACCCCCCCCCCCCCCCCCCCCGCCCTCCACGTCGCCCCCTCGGGATAAAGATTGCTGTGACTACAGGTCTTTTATAGAGCGATAAAAACTTGTGGAAAACGATTGATACGAATGATATGTTACAGTTTTACCGTTGCGTACTGTTTTAACCTAAAAAAATGAAAAGGGCGCGCCCCCCGCCCCGCGCCAAACCTATCCCCGCCCCTGCGCCCCATCATCGGCAACGAAAAGAACTGTGCTCGCCATCAGTTATTGTTCAGACATTGCAGGCCATCAGTGATGATGTAGTTAGTATCGCAGTTTGTCGATGCCACTACAGGATTTACATAAACGGAGGTTTTTTTATGATAGGCTTATTTCAGCGCAGGCTTCTGCACCAGCTGGCAAGTTTAACTGTGGTGTATCTATTCTTGGCGGGTTTCTAAGGCTCTTTAGTTATGCATGATGCCTTTGTTCCGGTTCTTGGTATTTAGCTATTACTTCCTCTCTGTGTATGGCCCTTATTTGAGTGCACTGCCGTTCCTTTTACTCTGTGTGTAGAAGTGTGTCTGTTTTGAACGATAGCGTTTCCCCGAGCTAGTTTCCTATGCACATTTTTTTCAGGCTCTTCCCCTAGATGTGAGACACCACCCGCAGATGCGACGTCCATAGAAAAACCAGCGAAAAAAGGATGGTTCTTCCTCATTCACTACAGCCGCCCCTAAGAAGGCAGCTGTTCCTGCAGCGGCTCCTCAAGAACCAACGGTGGAAGTTGCGAAAGAAGCTGAAGTAGGCACAGTTGATACCGTTTTCGATAACGATTTGATCAGCGGAAGTTCTTTCTAGTCCGAACTTCCTCTGGCCGATCGCTTGCTGGGTAGCGGTGTCCGACCGCCTCATCGAATGGATTTCCAATTACAGGTATTTCTTGTACACATCAGTTATTGCAGGCATTTCATTTTGGAAGAGGTGGGGGGTGTTACTGGCGTGTTGTGTTGAGCGACTTGAGACGTTTGTCAGCAAGATACTTCCCTTTTTCCATCGTATTTCCTCCTCCTTTTCTGTTCCAAGAGCTCAGCCAAACTACAAGACGAGAAAATGCCTCTGCACTATCGCAGCGAGAGGAATTCTATTGACGGATGGCTTGTAGCCACGGCACATCCTGGTGGTGGCGGATGTTTTTCAACACACGAACCCCCGGGGAAGGCTTTATTCAGCGCGCATGAGAGGGGAAATATTAGCGATCAGAAAAGTTAGTGCCAGGCAAGTAGACCCCTTCACTTCTACTGGGGAATTTGCAATGCATGACGACAAGATTTTCAGTTTAGGATAACAGAGGGTATACAGTATTGCTTAAGGTCGCGCCTAAGGGGGAGGAGGAACTCCATGGTGAGTCTGGGATGCGAGAGCGGCTCAAAATCCACTATTCACCAGCACCCTAGGGCGTGATGACCGTGCTGCGCAGGTGCAGTGGGGTGGTTTTGTGTGCGTTTACGGGGAGTGAGCCGCTGCTTTCACGCGCGGTCATGAGTTACTGTATACTACTGTTATCCTATAACTATATAAAAGTATAGTCGCATGAAGCGCCATGCTCGTGACCGTGGTGCTGGAGGTGGGAGAGGAGGGGAGGGACAATCAAGGTGGCGTGACTAAGTGAGAAGAGAGCGACTCCTTTTCCTGTACAGGCTCACCTTCAGGAGAGCGCAGACTACCAGTGTGACACGCGGCATCTCTTGCCGGTTAGCCCACCACAACTGCATTA